AAAAAAGAAAAAAAAGACATATATTGAGAGAGAGAGAAAAAAAAGATAGAGGGACCATAATTCCTCCACTAATCTACATTAAACATCAACAGTATAAATTTACATGTACATATTTATAACACCATGGTGCAATAGACACACTACAAGAATTCGAAGCTATTGCGACGAATATTTTCTCGACGCGACATAAAGTTTTATCTGCACAAATACTCTATCTCCCAAGATAGCAAATTACAACCTTTTTTTTTCTTGCAGCAATATGAAATCTTGCCTTAGGAATTGGCTGCCCAAAAACCATGGAATCCAAGAGGGAAATTCAGATGCTTTGGGACTTCAAGTTTTGCTACCATGGCATCAGCTTCTCCAAATTTTTTAGCCTCCAAAATAATAAGATAACATCTTTGAATTGATACTGCATACTGCATTTATAAACTCAAGTCATTTACTTTATAGATTCCTAAATCATGTTGCATCTAAGATGAAATTTTTTCACTTTGTTACTTAAATATTAAACAAATTTAAATTACAAGTCTAGTATCTAAACTCTTTGGGTTCGTGATCTTTAATACGTTCCTAAGTGCCTTGGTGACGTGTTCTCACTTCTTTTTTCTTGTTTCTTTTTTTTTAATAGAAAAAAATATATTGGCATTTGGTTACTATTTTGTATTTTGTATATATATATATTTTTTTTACTGAAAAGTGAAGGAAATTTGATTTGGTGAGAAACGGAAACAATTTTTTTTTTTCCAAATGCTTAAGTTTCAATAAAACTAGAAAAAGTTACTCCTCAAATTTCAATTTGGGTGTCTTACAATTTCCTTACATTAAAAGGAGTCTAAATAAGATTTTGAGCCCTCAATTTTGAGTCTGATGATCTATTAGACTTTTTTTTTAATCAACGAATTTATTAGATACAAAATTGAAAAGTCAAAAACATATTAGACACAAAATTTAGCTTTGTAAATTTTTAATATCAAATAGGTCATAGATATATTAGACACAAAAATGAAAGTCGGACCTATATTATACACAAAAATTGAAAGTTTAATGACTTATTGTACGTTTTTTTATCTACAAACTTGTTAGACACAAAATTGAATAGTCAAAAACCTATTAGACACAAAATTTAGCTTTGTAAATTGAAAAAAAATATCAAATAGGTCATAGATTTATTAGACACAAAATTGAAAATACGACCTATATCTTAGAAACAAAACAAAAGTGAAAGTTTAATTACTCACTGTCATTTTTAGAGTTTAAAAACTTATTAGATACCATGCAAATAAACTTGTAATTTAATCAATTAAATATTTATCTATCTAGGAATCAAAACATAGTTTTAAAAAATAAGAAATAAGAAATCCAAATTTTAAATTGTAGTCTATTGCATTACTTTCTTCAAATATATCTTGAGTTAATAAAACAGATAATGATAAGATGAAAAATAGAGAGAATGGTTTACAAGTTTTTCTAACCTCGACCACAAGAACATATCCATCATCCTCTTCATCTCCTTTGGGAACAAAAACAGGTTCTCCGACGAATCTCCGATTACCCGCATACCACGAGCGGACGGAGTTGGTGACGGTGTTGAGTTTGACCACCGTATCGAACGGAAACGACGGGAGTGACCTTCGATTACCAGAGGAAGTTGCAGCGTATAAGTAGTTGTTCTTTAGCCCTGAAAATGTAGGGTTTATCGCCGGAAAATCTGAGGCTTTGGTCCATTGGTTCAAAGGCTCCACGCTGCACTTTTCACACTTCCCATTCTTACTTAAACTGATGGAAACCTACAATTAATGCCAAATTTAGAATCTACATTAGATAATCTTTTAAGTCAAACCTTATAGTTGAAATTTTTTTTATATATCCATCAATGTCCGGGCCAGCTTGCGCACACCTTGACTATCTCACAGAACAATCGTCTGACCCTATAATATTTGGTACCGAAAAACACATAGGAATTAGTACCTAAGGTACGTGGCCATCATGGAGTTTGAACTAGTTCCTTCTCAATTTATTCTAGCCCCTTTAGACCAATGAGCCACTGTATAGTTGCAATTTAATTAGTCCCTATAATTTTAGAAGTTTCAATTTAGTCCTAATAATTCGGACTTAATTTTAATTTTTTTCCTGTGGTTTAATGTTAGACCAACCTCACAAATCTTCTTTGTCATTATTATTATTATTATATTGCCCCATAGCTATATTAGTCGACTATATTAACGTTTAGATAAAAAAATAGAAGGAAATAGGTTAGTTTTTCTAATAGGTAAAATAGAATTTAAGTACGATTTATAAGTTTTAACCAAATATAAGGATGAAATTGAAATTTAAACTCTTAAAATCATAACAACCAAATTAATACTAAGCTCAAACGATTAAAATCAAATTAAACTATATGCAAATTATATGAACCAAATTTTTAAATTTAAAATTTATTTAAAGCTTTTAAAATTGATTAATGACTAATGAGGGAGCTGTAGACCCAGTAATAATTTAGATTTTTAAAAATTACAAAAGTAAAAGCTAAAGAAATTAATACAAGTACAGTTAAAATCAGAATATAAATCAATAATTTTCGGGTTTAATTAAATTCAATAATTAAGATAATTATTTAAAAAAGGAAATACCTTGACAAGGCGAGGCAAGAGTTGAGTTTTGGTTCCATCCAGGTTCATAATGGAAGGGTCAAGTTTTCCACTCTGCCAATTATAACCTGGCAATGGAAAAATGAAATTAGTCTCATTTCTTAATTAATAAACATAAAAGATAAATCAATAATTAAGAATTACAGAATCTTATGATAATTATTATACCCTTTGGTATGAGTAGGTTTTCTGGATTTTTCTTTAAAAATTTCATTAAGATTCTAACAACAATTTAAAAAAAGGAAAAAAAAAAAGTTTTTTGCATCCTCGACCACCATTTTTAATACATATTCAAACAAAAATATTGACAACTAAATATGGCGTGAGAATTTGTTTCCTACCCGAATTCTAATCTCCAAATAAGAATTCTCTCATCCTAACTTTTTCTTTTAGTTTAACATTTAGAAGTGTAATTAAACCATACAAATCAAGATTGGGAGTGCAGATAGATATGAATGAGTCTTGAATAACTACAACCTCAAAACGAGACCAATCGAGGACAAAACGAGACCACGATCGGTTAGCTAGTGGGTGGACCAGGTCCCATGGGCCGATTGTGTGTCAACCTAGCTACCCATGGGTCGGTCTGGGTCACGACCCAATTTAAGGCGACCAATTGAGGTCTAGCTGTATAGACCAAGGACACGTTCAAGTTCAACAATTCCCTCCATCATCAATCAACCAATTGGTCAAATTTGAAATTCCAACATCCAGGGGTTCAAAAAGAGAAGATATGTCTAGATGCCCTTAAGTTTTTCACCTCTATAAATAGGGAGAGAAGAATTATAGTTAAAGTACGCTACAAAACCTAATTCTTAATACGCTTCACCTAATAAGCTCAATTTCCAACTTAAACATTGAAATATGTGTATTGTATTGTAAACACCACACTGGTGTACTGTAATATTTATGTTTTCCAGGTTTCGTTGAATCCCTTTATATTGAAGATTGATGCAAACTTGATAATTTTGTCACATTCAAATTTACACATCAACGAAAGGTAATAACAATTTTATCTACTTTAGTCAATATGTAACAACTTCAATTCTAAGCCCTAACTTGACTCTAGTTATTCAATTCAAGTAACGAGTAGGAACAAAAACTAATAGCCAATATGAAGTCGAGAATGGTGAGTGCATCACGAATCAGGTCCTATCATATATATAATGATGGCAAAAAATAAAAAATAACTTACCAAATAACCTTTTGAAATTGAACCATTGATAAGAGCAAGCAGAAGCATGGATTTGGATGTCCAAGTTGCCGTCATCATCTCTAACCTCAAAGGCATTGCCCACATGAAGTAGCCAAAGCCTTGAAGGAACTTCCACAGCCTCTCTCCAATCTCTATTTCCGTCCTCCGCAAATCTCGGAAGCAAATAAACTGGACACGTGGCTTTGCTTCCGTTCACCGATAATGCTGATATCATTGGAGATATTCCGCTAACCGCTCCCATTGCACCTTAATATATATCATTTTCAATCGATATGAATAGTCTATGTATATTATAAACTTTTGTTAAATCGCCGATCTTTTCAATGTGAAATTCTTAACAAGATAGAGCCTATTAAAAGTCCCATTTATGCTATATTTGAAAAAAAACAACGAACCGTTGTGTTATTTTTAACCATGAAATACTTCTCAAACTTTGTCCCCATTTGTCAAATTGTTCCTAAAGTTCAAAATATTAATAATAATATATTTAATTTATCTGAAAAATAATTAAAAAAAAACATCATGATTTGTTTAATTATTCTTTTATCATGTGATTTGTTTTATTGTCAACTAATTATAATATTCACATATAATTAAAAAGGGGCCAAAATATGGTCCCTATTTTTGAAATTTTAATACAAATGGTATACGTAACAAAAACTCCTTAATACAAAGTCATAGTTACATTTTAAGAAACAAACATATTAAGCGTAGTATCATGTTGAAATTATTATAGAAAAAATTAAATTAAAAATAAAATTAAATAACCAAAATAGTCACTTTTTAAAAGTATAGAGACTAAAATAAATATTTAAAAAATACAATCACTTAAATAACGAGACCAAAATGAACCAAAACTTGAAATATAGGAACTAAAATAGTACTTTTAATCTAATAATAACGTACCAATGACGTCGAGCTTAATTCGATTAGCAAAGATGACATAATGAGTATCAGTAAAAGCCCAATCATGGATCATCAAGTGATCATCGATCACAAAATCTTGCTTCTGTAACAACTTGAAATTACTGTCAAATTCTGCCCACCAAAAAAAAAATATATATTATTATTATTATTGAAAATATAAAAGAAAGGTCATTTTGACCTCTGAATTTAGTTTTAGTTCATTTTGATTCCTATACTTTCAAAATATTGATCTTGGTGCCTTGGTGCCTGTACTTTAAAAAGTAACTATTTTGGTCCCTTAATTTTTTTTTAATCTCATTTTTATATCACAATTTTAACATCACATTGCACACAATATATTTATTGAAATGTAATCCTTGCTTTATATTAAATGGTTTTTTGTTATTTGTAAAATTTGTATTAAAATTTTAAAAATAAGAATCAAAATTGTCACTTTTTAAAGATACAGGGACCAAACACAAACAACATTTTGAAAGTACAGGAACAAAAATAAATCAAAGCTGAAAGTACAGAACCAGTATTTTAGCCAAAAAGAAAATAATAATTTATGAATTAAGAAATGAAAAAGAATTAAAAAGGAAATTACCATAAAAAGTGAAATTGCTGGTGGGAAGAAGCATGTCTTCAGCTTTGCATGAGAGAATGAGAAGCCGATTCCTTTGGGCGTCCAGCTTGTAATGAGACAACAGCCTCTTGGGCGGCATCTTAAATACTCCTGTGCCAATTATTCCATCCACCTAATTAATTTAATTTAATTTATTCATCATTCCCCACTTTTAATATTTTTTTTAATTAGTTTAATCATATTTTTTAACTTTCAAATGCCAACTCCACCCCTATAAAACCAATTTTAAAATTTATAAAAAAATATAAATAAATTGTTGTTGTTGACTGTGGGAGTATTTGATTGATTCCTTTGGTTTTCGACCTTTTTAATAACAACAACAACAGAAGGCTAAATTTCAACAAAAAAAAAAAAAACCATTGAATTTTGCTTGTGCTTTGAAAATACCTCCTATTTTTTAAAAAGTTTATTTTGATCTTTCGTAAATATTTTAAACAAATATTTCTAAAACAAATATTTTTTAATATGACATGGTAATTAGTAAAAGTTGTTGGTAATTATCGGACACAACCACAAATTTAATCTTTAATGACCGTTCAAAATTTCAAAAGTAGAAACATGACGGACCCATAATTGACCAAATGAAAGGTAAAATTTGTTATTAGTGCCATTTAATTGCTCCAAGAAAACTTTGTTATTAGTGACATTTAATTGTTCCAAGAAAACTTTGTTATTACTGACATTTAATTGTTCCAAGAAAACTTCTATTAATTAGAACGTCGTTTCATATTCTGTTCAGTTTTTCATTTAAAATATTAACGATCGCACAAAGAGTACTTTTAAAATATTTATGAAATTGTTGTGGATAAAAAAGAGTATTTTTAAAAGATATGTTTTTTCTATATAATTTAGTCTATATAATAAAATTTGGATTCATTTAATGATCTTCAATGTTTTATACTATATTTTTTTTTCATTTCTTTGGACTTTCTAACACCCTTGCATGCAAAACAAGTTGACTCATTGTCTTTAATTTTTTTAATATCTTAAAAATTTAAATGTTATATCTAGTTCCTTATCTTTTCAATAAATTATTTAACATAAACCATTTCTTTTTGCCCAAATACGGCCAATATTGTAAACCCATTCTAGGCTAAAGTAATTGTAAAACAAAATAGTTATTTTTTTATTTACAATTCAAATAGGATTAATTAGCTTTAGTTTATTATAATTTCCGTAATTTGAAAATATTCATTTTAGTCTCGGTTCATTTTAGATCCACTTTGAAAATGTTTATTTTTGTTCTCGTCCTTTTAAAAAGTTATTAATTTTGACCAAAATATGAATACTAAAAACCTTCATTTACATTTTAAGAAATATAGACATTAATTTTAGTTTCTATGTTGAAATTGTGATTAATATATTAATTTTAGTGTCTATGTTGAAATTGTGATAGAAAAAAAAAAGTAATAGAATTAAGGTTACAAAAATAGTTTGACCAAAATATGAATACTAAAATAAATTTATTTTGACCTAAAATTAAAACAAAAACCAAGAATAATCAAATACACAGCGGAGCTACGAAATACGAACCGTGGAGCAAAGGCTTCAAAAGCCGCGCAACAAAACGCCATAAATCAGCGCCGTGACGTGGCGAACCACCGCGTCCACATCCACCACCACCATCATCGTCGTCATCAACATCAACGGCCGAGAATTTCCCGATCGTATCCAACGATCCGGGTTGAATCTCGTAGGGATCGCCGCCCTCCCAGAGGCAGAGCAGGCGGCCGGCCCAGCGGAGAACGCTGGTATTGGCCACGTTCTTCATCACCTTCGTATTCCCCAACCTCTTCCCTCCCTTCAGCACCGAGAACGGCCCCCGGTGAGTGAACCGCCACGTGTCAGTCGCCGCCTCGTGCTCCTCCATCTGCGCCTCCGTCCGTACGTACTTCGCCGTAAACTTCACCTCCTTGTTCTCGAAACCGAACGCCCTCAGGTAACCGTGGCCGTCCAGCGGGTGCACCGTCGAGCCGTGGTCGTCGGCGAACAGCCCCGGCCCGGCCAGGTAGTACGTGCCGCCGGGGAAGTCCGCCGGCACCGCGCCGTCCACCGCCCGGAGCACGGCCGGCTCTGCGGTCTCCGATCGCTGCGACACGAACAGAAACTGGTAGTCCCAGAACGCGGCGACGGAGTCATCGTCGCCCTCCGCCGGCGGAAGCGATGTCTGATTGTGGCGGCGGCCGGAGATGGATGTGGCGGCCCTGGGGATTATTGGGGACGCCGGAAAGAGGATTCTGGTCGCCTGAAGGAGGGTGACCGGCGACGGGAATTGGAGAGGCGACGGCGAGTTAGGGAGTGGTTTGGCGGAATGCATCTCTGAGAATAGGAGTTGGGAGTGGGGAAGAGGAAGCGGTTTGGGAGGTTTTATAGAGGAATGTGAAATGACGGAAAAGGGTAAAGGGGTTTTTGGGGTTAATTACGGATCTGCCATTGTTTGGCTGCATATGGGAATGGGTCGTTGATTTTGGGGGATGGGACGTGGGGATGAACCCCAGGTGGGAGGGCATTTTTTGGTTTGTAAAGCTAATGGCGGACACCATATTTCCCATTTTATCATTTTATATTGTATGCTCCTATTTATTATTATTATTATTATTATTATTACCAAGGTAAATTAGGATGGGGAAAATTATAGTATGACGTGAGAACTGTGGGAGAACACTCGTCTGCCATGTGTCGAATGTCTGGAAAATGGGTCGGGCTAGTATCGTTGGATCTGTCGAAGAAGGGCAAGTCAGCCTCCCAGTGCATTCTGTCGTTAGCACACTATAACAGCATGATTGACCAAGTGCAACTAGCATTATTGCGATGATAGAATCTTGGACAACTCCCTTACCAAATTTTGTCGTATGCTACCACCTATAAAAGGGCAGAGGATCCCGACACTCCGGTATGTTCGAATTCCTTCTGAGATACAATACTCACTATCGAACTTCATTAGTGACAGGCTTCGGAGTGCTCACGGGAATTCACCTATCATAAGGGATAAGCTACTTTGCTTGTGCATACTAAATCTGTGCAGGAACAAGTACACTATACTCTCTCTATTCATACTATAATTAGTTTTGTCTTTATAACTAATTTGTCAATATTAGTGGTGTTATGATATACGTGGGCACGAATCGTGCGGCCTCATATGACAAAGGGGACAAACCCCATTGCAGAAGAACAGTTGATGGAGTGCGCAGCGTGCCTTTGGATGGGAATGTACTCGTGAGCCCGCGTCATCTCTTAAGGCACAAGGGTGGGGCCCACCCCTAGAGGAACTCTAGTTCGAACACGAGCCCTTCATCGATAACATCCTTGTAGTCAACCTACCTAACGGTCGGGGTTCAACACTCCTTAAATGGACAAATACGACGAAACGAAAGACCTAGTTGATCACGCTACAGTTTACCGCGACGCCATGAAGGGAGTAGGCTACAGCGATTCAAAGTTGTGAAAAGGTTTCGCCGGAACCCTGATCCGACCAGCATGCCAATGGTTCCAGAACATAACCTCATAATCAATCCCTTCGTTCCAATAGTTGGCAGTCCTGTTCGCTGATTAGTTTTACAATATCTACAAGAGTCGTCAAACAAAGAAAAATCTCCTCATCCTCAAACAGAAGTCAGGCAAGGACTTGCGTAAATTCATAGTTTACTTATGAATCGACTACCTTTGGGCTAGGGATTGTTGACATGATGCGGCTTGCTTAACCTTGATGACCGAGGAATGCTACAACTTGAAAAACCAAATTGAGACTCTCATTCAGGGGGGTTACTTGAAGAAGTACGTGGGTCAGAGAACCACCCTAGCCCGAAAATTCTGACAGTATAATAGGAAAGGGGAACAAAAACAAAAATCTCTGAAAAGGGATGATTGCCCGAACGCTATCTAATTTGAACATTATATACATTATATACATTCCCTTATATAATTTGAACATTTCAAGTTATTTCATAGTTATTGATCATCGTTTAACCTTTGTGAGCTAGGAAGGGGACGTAATGGACTTATAGATCAAAAACTCTAACGATGCGAGATTAATCAGTCAAACTCATTAACCAAGTTAATCAACATTTGTTAACTGCAGGTCACTCCACTAAAGACCCACAGCTGTACTCTTCTCGCTGCATAATATTTTTGTATCCACGGATGTACGATCATTAACGGCAAGTAAATCCTTTACGAGTGCTCGTAACTCTAGCTAGGTCAAATTATCGTTTTACCCCTGAGTACATCTTGCTCCTTAAATACTACTACTCCTCTAATGAACAAGCCGGTTATCATCCGACCAATAACCAGAAGTCCCTTTCGAGCCAAAGAGAGGGTGGGGTCCCCTGTTCAAGTCCCGGAGTCAGCATGTAAGGGAACACTCATCTACTTCCCTAAAGTCGGAAAGAAGTGAATTCCATCTTGCCTAGTTATGTTCTCAGATCCCCACTCGGTCTCGTCCCCAAAATGGAAGGATTATTGAGTCAGCAACCTAGGCGACTCTCACCCATACAAATCAAAGGAAGATCCCTTATAGGCATGAGTCCATAACTCACTCAGGATTAAGATCGAGTTACCTGGTCATCCTATGAGATAACAATCTATTGATTAACGGTGTTAGAGCAAAAGATTAATTATTACGCGGTACAGTCTTATACAAACCCATTGTATAGGATAGCCCCACTCGCATGTCTCTACATGAACGACCTGGATAAAGTAATTTGTAACTATTACAAAGTGGGTCGTATCAATAGTGTTATCAGGATAAGGTATCCAACCTTATCCATGTACTATAGACCATTTAGGTTATTAATGGAACATTATCCACTTGTATATCGAATATATATTGTATATAAAATATACACTATATATTAAATATATACTCTATATCAAATATATATTGTTCCAGACTTGTGTATCTAATATATACTGTATATCAAATATATACACTGTATATTAAATATATAATGTATATCAAATATATACTATTCCAGTTACATTAAAAAACCTTGGATCTTTGTTTATTATTATACGAGTAATGCAAAGAAATAATAAAATAACTTTTATTAATAATAAATAAAATGTTTAGAAAGTTACAAACTCACGAGCTTAGGGCACTAAACCCAACAAATCCAACAGTGAGGGGCACACGAGAAACGATGCGCGATAATGTCGCAATGTGCAGCAATAGGGCGCATTGTATCATAGCTAACCACACCTCGGAAAGTGCGCACAACTCGACATAAACTAAAAGAGTAATGGAATCTGGTGTAGGGAGAATTTCAGTTCCCATTCCCGTGAAAAACGGTGAAGGAGCTTAGCGAATCCTAGATTGCCTTAGGGAAGAAAAATCCCACGCTTGGACTCCGATTGACGAATCCGAGTAAGATTTCGCACTTGGAAGAAACTGCCATAGGGAAGAAAAATTTTGGGGTCGAATTTCGAGTAATAAACCGAGTAGGATTTCATGCTTAGACACAACTGCCTCAGGAAAGAAAAATCCCATGGCTGAATTCTGAATGACGAATTCAAGTAGGATTTCGTGCTCGGAAACAACCTGCATAGGGAAGAAGAATCCTGAGGCTGGATTTCAAGTTACAAGTCCGAGCATGATTTCACACTTGAAACCAACCTGTATTAGGGAATAAAAACCCCCTTCTATAAAAAAAAAAGTGTATGTTCTTTGTTGGATTAGCCACAATATTTGGATGCTCACTAGTCAGAACCTATCTCTATGTCGACCACTATTCAAAATTTGTCAATCTTTTAGTTTTTAAAACATAAAAAAGTTATTTGTGTTTTTACCTTTTTCTCTTATCGTCAAAACATTTAACGGTGGTCAAGTCAGCAAGGGAGGAGGGAGGAGTGCTAACCTAAGTAATATTCCTAGTAAATTTTCTATCGAAATTATCTTCATTTCCCAAGTTGGGTTTCTCTCTCTTGAATAATTGTTGAATCCATCCTTCTAGATTGTCCAACAAATAATACAAGTAAGCTTTTACTCACAAGTATCGATGCTACAAATAAGAGAGATCCACCTATTAGAGAAATTGTCATTTTCAGAACTATTCTCGAGCTAGGTTTTGGTATCCACAAGAATCGAATATTGGACAATCTAATACAAGTAAGCTCTTACTCACAAGTATCAATGCTGCAAATAAGAGAGATCCACCTATTAGAGAAATTGTCATTTTCAGAACTATTCTCGAGCTAGGTTTTGGTATCCACAAGGATCGAATATCAACGATGGAGGCAAATATAGCGAGAAGTTTGCAATCTATATCTATATATTTATACCATGTATAAAATGGAGGCTACAGAGGGAATCTCTGTATTATGACTCACTATTTTTTTTTTTAATTCATTTGTAACTGTTTCCTTTTTCTTTTAGTTTTCTTAAATTAAATAATTATCAAACTTGAAAGGATAAATTTTTCCCATTAGCTAATGGTGTGTATGGAAGTAATGATAGAATGAGTGGTTTTGAAATAAGATAATTAAGTATCATTGATTTTTCAAAATCACCCTCCAAGTCCAAATGATACCGTAAAAATCAATTTAGGGTTTCAAATTTCGAGCGACACGTCGACATGTCGTTCGACGTGTTGAGCACCTCGACATCGACATGGGGGGAGAATGTCCTTTTTCCCCCAATGTCGACGACATGTCGAGGAAATATCGAGGAAATGTCGAGGCAATGTCGTTTCCTTTTTTTTTTTTTTTACTCATAATCGATAAATTGATTTTTTTTAATAATTTGAAAATATATACTCACTAGTGGTGTTGATTGATATTTCGATTAAATAATTTGAAAATATATGTATAGCTTGTTTGAGTGAGATAACGTAGGAATTGATTTTTTTCCCACCAAAAACGTGTTTTTTTTAACCTTTTGTGACATTTTTCTTTTTATTTTCAACAATTTTTATTGTTCATTAGCGTCACAAAAACCAAGGTTTGTTTCCATCTTTTTATCTCTAAGGCAAACCTCATAACAAATAAGTAAATCTGACTAAAAAATCAAATCTTTTCTAAAACAAATTAAGGAGGTTTTCCTTCAAATTTGGCCCCAGATTATATTTTTATTTGAATTAACAGAAAATATCATGTTTGGTATTAGTTAAACTATATCACAATTATTTGTATATAATATAAATTTTATTTTTCAAATTTTATACCTATTTCACATATATTGTTTAATTATTGAACTAAAGATTAGATTTGATTAGAAATTATTGATAGAACATAATCCGTCAACAATAACTTTAATTTACTAATTCAAATAATTTATGTAACACCCGACTAGAATGAACTGATACCACATCCAAATGAGAAAGTA